CCACCTCTGTGACACTGAATACTCCCAGATTCTGAGGTTCAGTCTATACTCTTAGAAGGTCTAGAGTCATAACCATAACGAGGGTCAGGCATCCAACAGCTTTTCTCCTCTCAGTAAGCTGGGGAAATGTGGCTGGACAGGAAGAGAGGCACATTTCCTAATGGCTTGTGAAAAGGGAGCCCAAATGAGATTTCTGTTCCAACATTTCCTCCTTCTCTCCCCATCTCTTCCTCTCTCAGTCCCCTGCTACTGCCTGTTCCATCTCCCCTTCCATCTCTGAGCAGGGTGGAGGGACATGATTCTGTGGAAAAGCTGCTCTCAGCACTTGTCTTAACCGTTCACATACAACTGCAATCTCTCTTAGTGACTCAGAGATCAATGACATAGGGAAGAAAAAGGGAAGTCCCAATTTTAAACTTAGGCCCACAGAAGAGGTTTAACAGGTACCAGGAGAGTCTGTCATGTTACTTCGGATACTTACGCTAAGAAACTAAATCAAGAACCCTAATGAACGTGTGAGCACAGCTTAGAACTGTCAGGAGCAAAAGGGAAAAGGCAGGCAGACCTCTCCGACACCGGGAGAGGCAAATGCAGTTCTCTTTTGCAGGTTTACTGCTAGTACTCTTCCTACCTGGGTGGCTAATGGCTTTTTAAAAGGGCATTTTCTGCTACTGTCTACCCAAAAATATCAAAGTTTGGGCTGACTGACCCAGTGAGAGAACTCATGTATTTGTAGAAACTAAACTCAGGGATGATACACTGGGCCAGGCCACACATGGAGGTGAGCTCAGTTCTCTATTCCTGAGCTGTGCGGCCTTAAGCAAGTTCCTTCCCCTCTGTTAGCCCCTCCGCTCCATATTAGTTTTGTATAACTAAACTCAAAACTCTCCAGGGCTGGGCAGTTTTATAGCTTGTATTTGTGCAGTGCTGTATACATAGCTTGCCATGACAGACCCTCCATCTCTGATGAGACCTCAATCAATGGGCTGTTGTAATACAAACCTTATTAACAGTCCTTACTGACTCATCTGTCTTCCAGCAACTTAGGCAGAGCAAAGTAACACCTATTTGTGTGCGCTTCATTACTGACATTCAGATCATTAAAAAAAAGCCAGATCCTTCCTAGTGAGAGCTACTCAATGGGAAAGCAAACATTTTATACAAAGAAACACGAAAGGTGACTGGAATATTTACACCTCACGTTCCTTAAGTGCACTCACATTAATTATTTCTGGTGTGTGGGCTTGCCAGTGAGCAATCGACAGCCTTCACAACTAGTGATGACACACGCAGGCAGCTAGCCATAAATAACCCCAACAGATGACGACGGAGGCCACGACATAGTTCTCTCTAATTCATGCAACGCACAAAAACAGACATAGAAAGGGATATAGCAAAACCACAAGTCAAAACATAACGCAGCAATATGCTGCATTTTTCTATCATATTGTCCTTTCTTCAGACTAATTTATCCCAGTGACATAGCTAGGCATCTGGGATATGCTATTATGTCAGTTCAGGACCCTTGAACATGTCCTACCGTGCAACCTCTGGTCTTGTAACCTGAAGAGCAAAGTCTGCAACCGCCTCTTTCCTTGCGATAGCCAACACTTCATCTCCAATTTCCAGTTCCAAAAATACATTTTGCTGAACTACTCAATGGCTTCTGACATCAGCAGGTTTTATCTCTAACACAAGACAGTGCCTCTAGCTCACAGCAAAACTGCTAAAACAAATTGTTGCTATCGGCTGGGAGTACGGAAATGTTTAATTAAGAGTTAACAAGTTAACATCTAAGTTGTTAAAGTAACTCAGAGATTAGAAAATTGGTGTTATAATGAAACTTACTAATTTTATTGTAGAGTTCTCACTCATCACTGGAAAGAAATCCAAAAAAAACACGTTATAAATCTTCCTATTCATAAACATACATTCTTAGTTAAAACAGAGCACTATTTGCTTATGGCTTTTCTGCCATGTCACATGCAACATGTCTTACAGGGACAGCAGGTAAAGACAAGGGGTTTAATGTATAACATATAGCCCTGTTTCTGAACGACATAAGTTATGGGGGAAAAAAAAAAAACATGAGGTAAAATAAACACCATTCAATGAACATTGGCATTTCCCACTGTTCCATTTTCTACTACTATCTGGCAATATTTTTTCTGTTGCTCCTGCTTGAAAGACTCTTTGACCTTTTTCCTTTTCAGTCCTCCATCCCTGGAAGATACAGATTAAAAAAAATAGCCTTGAGTTCATTTCACGGTAAAGGTAGAAAAAGTTTAGAATATTTAGACTACATAGTCAAAGCAACTTTCATCTTAAACGTCAGCTTTTGCAGTACAACGCTCAATGATCTGTATTGCCAAAATCTATTATAATATAAACAATGCCTTTCCTTTAATCCAGCTTTTAACCGGCAAAGAATTTATTCTCATCAAATTCTACCTGTTGGCTGGATCCACGTTCCGTCAGATTGGTACCTCTTTTTATACTGCATTAGTCCACCACTTACTCTAGTGGAATTCTTCATGGAATAAGAAAATATTCGCTCAAACTCAGTAAAGGGTGGTAAACTACAGCCAAAGCACAGCTGTAGTATTAGAAGAAATTTTAAAAGATTCCAGGCTAAACTTTCAGATTACAGAACACCTAACTACGTTTCAAGCCCAACTTCAAAAGGTGTTGCTTCTTACCAAGGAAGTACAGACATTCCTCCTCGAGCAGCGATGACAGCCTTGACTCTGTCAGCAAAGTGGACAGCATCTTCTTCTTCCTGAAAAAGATATAAATGATTTGCTTTTCAACTTCAACATTTTCTCTACGCCCCACTTTAAAATATGCTTCTTGCTAGAGAGCAGGCACTCAGGTTTATGCCAGACTCACAAAGCCAAATGTGACCTGTAAGGCAGTTTTAGCAGGACCGCGGAAATGCCACCTGGCAAGTTAGCATGCTGGGTTTGCCAGCATTCAGTACCAAAAAGAAGTGGGAGGCTCTGTGGTTTCTAGGGCAGTCTGAAACAACATATGCTCAGAGCAAGGTCACAGACCTGGCCAGAGCAGGACATGCATCTGCTCCCAGTTCCTCAGTAACACTCTGACCACAAGAAGCCCAGAGTGAACCAACAGTGTCACCTTGGAGGAGACGTGGTGTCTTGAGCAGGGTTGGGGCCTGGTACATTCAACATCAGTAAAATTATAACCTTCTGGGCCAAAAACCAGTCTTCGCCTTCCTATAGCTGCTGTCATGCCTGCTCAAGTCTATTAAAATTAAGGTCAGTGCCTTTCCTGATTTCTAAAAAGATGTATGGTGTATAAACCAGACTGCTATATAGGTTTAGCAGCTCAGGATAACCAAGAATTTTAACAAGACACAAGCTAGAGACAAGATGCAAATCCTTCTTTTAGAGCTTTTCTGCCTTTGCAATGTTCGCTGTGCTAAGATGTATTTTCACTGGAGTAAGCAGGTAGGAATGATGAATACACTTTAACTGCCCAGCTATAAGCGCTCTGGTATGTCAACTTGCACAGATAAATAACCATAGTACAGAAAGTTTACAGCTCTCGCAGGCATAAGCTTTATTTACTCCAAGAGGACACCAAGGAAACCTCTCCCTTGGAGAGGGAAATGTAGGCCTACAGTAGGATTGTTTTCATAGCCTTAGCATGCAGCATTTTCTGATTTCCAATCTCTGCTTAATTTTAAGACTACGGTGTCATTTCTGGCTTTTGTCCATTAGGCTGTCAATAAAGATCACAAACATTATGTCAGCATATCGTGCCTAGCAGTACCAGTTTCTTCCCAGAAAACAGTTGCAAGCATCTCCAAAACATACATAAGCATAAGTACCTCTTTGACCATTGGTGGCAAGTACCACACATTGCAGACAATAGCCCAACTGGTCATCAGTTTAAAAGCATAGGTCATCATGGAGTATTTCATGCTGTTCCAGAACGCATCTCCAAAGCGAGGGTCATACTGGAACACAAGAACAATAAGCTGAAGGGCATGTATCTCTGCACAGGAGATCAAGATGTACACACAGAAGGGATGACAGGCATAGAAGTAACAGCAGAGATCAGCCCGAGATGAAAAAAAACAATTCCAAGATGAAAAAGTAAAACGATACTCGAAAAGGAATTCACGGTGTCAGTTCTGAGAATGGACAATTACAAGGCACAAAATACCTAGTATCTACAAAACAAGAGTTCATCCTGGGCTACACACACTGTACAGCTGGACTGGCGTTAAACCATGTAGGTCGCTCTTTTTTGGCCATGAAGTCACAGCTCAACCTTTTAAATTGGGGCAAATCTAATCAAACCTCCTCAAAGCAGCAGTAAATGCAGGCTGCAGCTCCATGTCTTCACTTTTACTAAAAGCTAATAAAAGCTCATGCTTAAAAACAACCATGACAGCCCCATAGAAACAAATCTCAACTATAACCGGATACATCCACTCAAAGAGTCAAGACCTCTAATAACGTCTATATCTATAGATACACTAACTACAAGGTTTGCTTGATAATGCTCACAATACCTGCAACAGTTTCCATGAGATTAGACAACATCATAGCTGCAGGAAAAGGAACCAACGTAGTCAGAGGTAAAGTGACTCCGCTAAAGCTACTCAGAAAGCTCTGGAAATGCCAAGAAAATAATCAATTCCTAGTCCTGTGCCTTTATCCCCACAACAGACAAGAGCCAGGAGCCTTAGGACAGAAAGAGCAGACAGAACGGAGCACAATTGCAACGGAGCTTTTCAGGTTGCTCTCAGTCAGTCATAAAAGCACTCAGAAATTAATTTCCCATACGGCACTGACCTGCAAGACACTGCACATCATAAAAAGGTTCAGATTTCTCAGGGCTTATTTAGTGCCTTACTCACGCAGAACAAAGGCCTTATTAAGGTTTACACATGAATATTTTCTCTGACTTGAAAACATTCTTCAAATAACCCTTCCATGCTTGGGAACTAGAGATACATTACCTTAATGGCTACTGGATGGATGGTCCCTCCCACTTCAAAGCTTCCCTTCTTAAACATCATTACTGATGTGTTGTTTATGCAGGTACCTGGCCAGAATTAAAACAGGTAATGAGTTTATCCATTCTAATAAAAGTATCAATGAATGAATCCAAATTTGCCTTAAGGAGACTTAAGTTGCTGGAGGACAAAGCAAACTTCAGAAACCCAGAGTCTGTTCTCTCTTCTATTAAGCTACTCAAACCAAATAGGTAGTCATAAACCTGTTGTAAAATAATGGAATTTGACTTTTCATATCTCACAAGAGCTAATTAATTCTACAGAATAAAAATAATTTAAAAAAACAACTCGTTGTAAAGGTCGGCTGTAATAAACTGCACTTGATGGCAAGAAGTGAGCACAGCAGTAAAATCAGTATAGTTTTTTCTTACCTTCTGGAAAAATTAAAATGGGTAATTTGGTCTTATCCGCAACGTGTTCTCTAATTCTGTGGAGCAAAAAATAAAATTCCAGTGTACGTTCCACTTTCGTAGAAGACTCTCTCATTCATACTCAGCCAGGAATCTACATATATGTTATCTCTTAAATATGACAAGAGAAAGCCATCGCCCAATGCTCTTTGCCAGTCAGTAGTCTCTACCAGAATAAGAATTCGTTTCAGGCCTGTTTCTTGAAGGGTCTCTTGCTAATTGTGTAAGTAGGTTTTCTACAAAAGTGAATAGCTCTCCTTTTATTTCAACCATTTTAACCCAATTAACAGTGGTACTTGAGAGACACGTGAACTGTTTCCTGCTTATCTTTGACAGGCTCCAGCTGTGAACTGGAAATTCTGCCTAAAATATTTTATTGCCTAAAATACAGCAGTTTTCCATATTTCACGTTTCCATGCTTCCCAGCTTCACAACATCAGTTTTATACATACCTAATAACTCTCATCATCTAGATAAGAAGCAGAACAACCTTTTACTACGTTTGGTGCATCATTTGAAAAAAAAAAAGTGTATCACCACTATGTAGAGCACACTTACTGACACGTAAAACTAGTTGTTTTTCAGGACATATCTGCCTTTTCTAAGAATCAAGAGCATGCAGCTTCTCTCCAGGCCGCCTTAAAGAACAAAGGCAAAACATCAGATAGCAAAATGAGGGAATGATCCAGCACAGAGGGACCTCGTCCATTCTTCTAAAGACTAACTGCCACAGAGACTTGCTTAAAGTTAGCTGCTTTGCACCCTATTTCATGAAGATTTAGGGCAGCTAAAAACAATTTACTTTGTAAAAAGCCTGAGAACATAAGAGCCACAATGAGCCAAACCTGTTCATGTCCTTAAGTCCAATATGCTGTCTCTGACAGCAGTCGACAAACTGCAGGCCTGGAGAGCAGAACAGGAATCAAGCAAACTGTAAAGACGCTTCCCAGATGCTCTTCCAGCTTCCAGGAGCCAGGTGGTATCTTGGTGATTTTTTTTTTCCTTATGAACTTGTTTAATTGCTTCCGCAAACTTTTGCACGCGAGGCTGATAAGGGCTGAGGATGTTTCTAATGAGTTGTGATTGGTTCCCTCAAGTGATCTATCCTTCTCCAGAAGCAAACACACGAGGCTAAAGTTAAGATTTGCCACGATCAGCCTCCCTTTATCCTGTACGCATGATGGATACAATCAGCCTTGCAATGGCTCAGAACTGATGAAAAACCATACGAGGGCAAGGCACAATCTGGGAAGCAGATGTGCTGACAAAACTTGGATTCCTGTCCTGACATCTCAAGTTATCAGTTCTGAATCTGAATGAGCAGGCTGATGCCTGGGGCAAGCGGTGCGATCATGGAAACGGAGAAATTCCGAGGTTACAGGGCAAATGGTCAAGAGCTCAGAACAGGATTGCTATACCTTGCCCCCTAAGTGATGGGGCAGTTGCAGAACTTACACTGATGACAACCTACAGCTGCTCATCAATAAGAGATGTAGGGTCAGAACGTTCTCAAATCGCACTTATGGCTCACAGTTTCTAAACTTGATGGGAAAAATTAAGTTAACACCTCACTACCTTACTTCTTTCTCACCAGGTGACGGGCTTTCATTTCTGAACGTTCAAACAAAACGTGCTCAGTGGTTTTCATGCAAGATTTCTGAATAAGTCCCAGAAGCCCTCCATGTGCTTGGCCAACCTGCAAGACCCAAAAATACTGGTTACTATGCAAACACATGCACATACTTAAATAAAAAGTTCTGAATGAAGATGCATCAGTTTCTGAGCTCGTTCACATGTGATCCCAGTCCTCTTGGTCAAAAACGTACACACACCTACCTCTGTTCACCACTCTGCAGTCCTGAAAGTGAGACTCTGAACACTATCAAATCCCATTCTTTCTACCAATAAGCGTATGATCTCATCCAACACTGTATCTGTGCGCATCTCAACATTACCACTGTTTATCAACTCTCTTGTTCATACCAAAGAATAGCATCCATCACTAGCCAGGATTAGAACATCTAACGGAGACGTGTGGTTGGCTACACAGATGCCTCCTTTCTGTGGTCTGTTTTCTCTGCAATGACAATCGTAAAAGTAATTACTTGATGTTTATTCTCGAGGCTCCAGGCCCCACCAGGAAATTCATCTAGCGAATGCATACCAGCCATAGAAACTCTCAGCCACAAAGGCATTTCAGACACGTAGCACATCTGTAAATCCATAGGAAGCAGAAGAACACAAAACATTTTTAAAATATGAATATTACTGTCACACACATTAAAACTTCTGGCAGTATATTACAGTGGATGAGTCATTGTTCCTCATTCTTTAAAGCGCCCCTTCAGACTTCACCAGTTTTGGCATTTCAGTAAATTCTTTATTTCTGTATGTTAGCTTCCTCATAGCTGGGAATATGCAATTTCTCTGCAGAAGACATTTTAGTTGCACACATTACCATTCAAGAGAGATATATATTAAAGTCTACTCAGAGATACTAAAACTCTAAGTTTAAACACACCAGAGCATGACCTTTGTTGCCTTACAAAGCGAAAAAAAAAAAAAAAACACCCACCAAGGAGCCTATATTACATAAATCTCCATAACTACAATAACTAAGATTGAAGATCTTACTGAGATACCACCGACAATGTACTTTAGGAAAGAGGGTAAAGGATTAATTACTGAACAAATCAGCTAATAAAACAAATTATAGGTCTTGAGAAAAACGCCTCGGTTCAAATTTAATCAAGTAGACAGCATTATTCCACCTTTACACACCCTGCAAATACACAACAGAAAATACAGTAGGGCATCAAAATGCCTTAAGAGAAAGGAAGACAGACAGGGTTCAGATTACCTAACTCAGTTCTTGAATCTAATTTCATCTACCATAATACTTACGCAATAATGAATAAAAATCCCCCTCTGAAACTTGAGGCGCTTGGTACCATAGAGTACACTTTAAAAAATGAATAATGCACAAGTGAGAGTAGGTTGGCACCACTCGCCTGTTATGGAAATGAACAGCACCACTCAGACATCGGACCCCTAAGGCAGCACAAGTCATCTGGACCTGGTTGCTCAGCCAGCGTTTAACCCTAGAAGAAATAAAGCCATGCATACGTTTCCAGTTCTCTGTAGTCACTCACAGCACAATATCGCGTAAGCTTCCCAATTTATTCCCAACAGTTGCTATCACAAAAAGTACACCAAGATGATTCATTGCAATAGCTGTGCCCAACAGGACAAGCTAACTGGATATCAGAGACATTCTTGGCTCCATTCTTCTATTCAGGTCTATTATAAAATCATCACATTCAAAGAAGAGGAGATTATAGTAGGGGTTTTGATTTACAGATTTCACCTGGAAGAACCTGCTATAGACTCATTCACTAACCCTTATTAAATATAGACATGTGTAGCTGGTAAATCACATTGGAGTCGTTTGCACTGACAGGACTTAACTCCCCTCACAGTGTTAATACTGATCTGCTCATGACAGGTTTTACTTGCCCTATTCTGAGACATAGAGTATCCTCTTATTTTCCACTGTAAGACGGAGTAGCTACCCGGTATATTCCGGCAGTATCTTTCTGGGTTACATTGCACGTCTGCTTTTGGATACCATTACCTTTCGGTACCCTGTGAGTTTACAACAGAGATATATCACCCCACAGTCTTCCATGTTAATCCTCCTCGCTCAAGCAGAATTATATTCTAATGCTCTAATTCAGTTCCTTGAAGAACTGCAACAAAAACGGCAAAGAGTTCTCAACAAACATTTACCTGCCATTTGGAAACTGTCCTACTACCGTGGTTGCTGAAACCAGCAAGAGCATACTGAAAGAAGCCAAGCTGACGCTACAAAGTAAAACAAACCTCTTAATTAATTGGTAAGATTAAAAAATTGGAAGATCAAGCAAAAAAGCCTTTTAACCCCTTTATCCATTCCAGGATGCTTCTACCCTCCCTTAGTAGCATTTAATTAGCAATACAAACCAGTTAAGGCCAAAGGGATAACATGAGCCACAGATTTTCATTCAATTAATCCTGCATTGAGTCCAAAAACCTTCTGTTGCCTGGAGCATATCTTCCAAAAAGCACCATGCCTTGATCTCAAGGTATCAGGTAGTAAGGAATCCACCAAGTTCAATGAGGCTAAGCAGTGGCTATGTGATTCTTTAAAGTACCTAAGATTATATTATAAAATGCAACGCAAAGACTTGACATTCAATTTTTAAAAATCTACCCAGAGATTTCAGCACGTATTTCAATCCTGTGCAGTTAAGTTACTGCACAATCATGAAAATTAATTGTCCTTAGTTACTAAGGACCAAGCAAAACAAAAGCTAAAGGTTTTTCTGCATGAAAAGTTGTCTCCCTAAATTGTCTAAGCTTACACAGAGGCATATGTACTTTGAGAGGTGATTTACTGGTATAAGACACCTTTATGCACTGCGAGAGTTTCTTTTAAATACTTTCCTCCCAAAGAAGAAATTAGAGCCTTTAAAAGCTCCTGCTCTTTAGAAAAATGTGTGAATATTTGTAATTGTGTGCTCCATGTGATAAAAGTTGCTTTTGCTTAAAAGATACCTCAACAATTCTGAAAATTAAATATATCTCAAGTGTCTTTTTTTTTTTTTTTTTTGCCCCATCCACCTCTGTGCTCCCAGAACATTAGCTTTCCTCCAAACTCCAGGCATTCAGCATACAATCTCCCCCACATTATTCAAGCAAGTAAAGCCTGATCCCTTCAATTAAGACAATTGTTATTTTATATCAAAAACATCTCCATATGTTTTCTATGAGGTTTTGTCGAATTTAAAAAACAAGTTAAATGAATAGCGACATTAGCATACTAAGAAAACAGAACACGAGAAATGTACATCAACACTTTTTATGGATATTTGAGTTTTGAAGGCATCTTCAAAATCCAAGTCATGCCACCTTCTCATTCCGGCATTAGTCAATAGCATATAAATTTCACTGATCTTTTGTAAAAAGTAACTTTAAAAAAAAGGCAACTCCAGCTAATTACATCTGGCTTACCGAAGAGGCATCAGGAGACAGTACCGAATTAGGATCCCAATGACCCACACAAAGGTCAGTTGCCAGCTGATACGGTGAAAGCTGACATTAGTTCTGCTAAGGAGGTTCCAGGAGACCAGCTCCTCAGAGGAGAACCGCCGAGTGACTTCATCTTCTGCAACAGCCTCAAACCCCTTCTTGGAGAAGTACAAAACATCAGCAAGGTTGAAGCGTCCTCGTCGCTGGCCAGCAATTTCCTCTTCCATGGAGGCTTCCTCCCTCTGGATGATCCCTTAATAGTAAAAAGCAAACAAAAAACATCTGCATGAGGAAATGAGTCTTTCTTCCACACAGAAAAATGGACAATCAGAATTCCAGAAAGAGTAAAAATACTCATACTTTTTACGAGTAGTTCTCCTACTGTAAGCACTTGCAGCAACTGCACTGGAATGTTTGGTTTACGGACTGGCAGTTAACTCCACAGGTTGCTTCTCTAATCCTGTGCCCTATCACATCATTAGACTGTTGAAGAGACAAGCATTCAGAGTCAGTTGCAAATAAAACTCTGAGCAGGACACCTTCTTCATTGTAATTTACCAAACGATATACGTACACGCAGCATGTCAACATTGCACTGCCAAGATTACAGGTCCCTGCTCTTGCCTGGATGCATAAAGTCAGGTAGTGTTTATTGTGTTGTTGGTTTTGCTGTTCTTGTTTAATTTTGCTTTTTTGCAGTACTACCCCAGCTGCAACAAACTCCTTCCTCTCACATGTTTAGTTCAGCGCCTCCTCCCTCCCATTCCTCTTTTCTTTATGGGTCACTTAACTTCTAAAAGCACAAAGGTGTCAACTTTTTCCCCCACAAACATACACACTGTAATGCAAAAGCGCTGTACGGGAAGAATTAAACACATTTATGTTTCACATCTAAAGTTATGCCTCACAGTGAAGTCTGATGTTTGCTGAAATCACTCTGAGGGCAGATTCTTAGCTAGCTGGTTACAGCTGGTTTTTAGAAGCATTAAATACGCATTATTTAAAATGCATTCAGTGTGTCTTAAGTGTGCTTAAGCCTCCGATCAGAATCACAAAACCTTTCTCCAGCTGGATTTCAGTTGAACCTTCAATGTCAGGGCAATCATCAGACCTGAATGCCATCAGCTGACAACCCAAACAATCTATCTTGGGTTCCTATGACTAAAAATGCCACTAAAAGTAAAAGGATTATTATGAGATTTTGATCTAGTCCTTTCCGTCAAAAAAAAAAAAACAGGAAAAATTGACGGGCAGGGAAACCCTACACTGTCTTTCAAATTCTAACCCCATACCTAGAGAAGAGTTCAAACTCTAAGAGTGATCCAAAGGCTGATGGAACAGATTTAGTAAGACTCAGTCTTTTTGTGTGCTAGGAGCTAAGAGAAGAACAGAGAAGCTGTAAAGAGAAGTGTCCAGTGCAAAAAATAACCATTCCTCCTCCTAACCCTCTAAAGAGAGGAAACTTATGGAGTCAAAGTACAAAATCCCCATGAAAAGGGGGACAGCTTCCCAAACGCTTATCAGCGATGTCTTTCTCCTCCCATCCTGCTCTCTTTAATGCCTGTTATCCAGAAGACTCATCAACAGGTATCTTGCTTATAACACACTTAGTCTCTTTTGTTGGTCTGCTCATGGAACTTCATTTTGACCCTTCTAGTTTTCTTACTTAACATCAGATGCAATTTATGTTTCCGTTCTCTCTTTCCTAGGTAAGATATTAAAATAGTTGCCATTTTACCAGATGAATACTGCTGTGTCGTCTTCATACAAAGATCTTACCGTTGGAGGTTAAATTTTCAAGTACCAGCGCCTTCTGCTTTTTTACTCCCTTCTCAATCTGCAGGGTGGCCCACTGTTCCCAAAACAAGAAAAGTAAATGTTGATGGTTTTTATTTTGTCATTGCCAAGTATTCTTTAAAATCCGTTTGTGAATTGTCTGAGCCTTTCTTACTGAAGTCAGGGCTTAGGTTTTCGTTCATTTTTCAAATTCAGTTGTAAGGCTGTTGTGCACACCTCCAGTTTCATTTGTTATATTGATTACCTTTTGCCATTGTCATGAAAAATTATTTGGTTCAAACTTATTCTCAGAACTTATCCAGATTTTTTTCGTTTTTGTTTTAAACCAGATTACTGAGCTATCTGACATTCATGAGTCCAGAACTCCCTCTTCGCTAGTCTGCTTCAGGCAAACTACGCAAAATACTGTCATTGACATTAGAGGCATTCTGGAATGATAGACCTAAAAAGGAATTTTAAGGAATAAAAGAAATTATCTCAGCCTCTGGGCATTCATGCCGTTTGTGTCAACAGAGAACAAAGAGAGGAGGGGGCCATTTCTTATTGAATAGTACTTCTGAAGGAGGAGAATTTTCAGTAATGAGCATTCACCTTTCCCTGTCTTTACCTTTTTGAGCTAACCCTTTTCTCTCCTCCCTGTGCAAACTAGCACAAAACTCAATTAGCAAAATCAAATAAACAAGGAAGGAAAAAAACAAACCTTTTCTATAATACATTCAACAATTGGAACATCTCGTATAAATACACAAGATCGTTATAAAGACCATTTGCAATACTGCTGCTTATTTCTTAGGGTTTTATATTGGCATAAAATACAATAATAAATATTCAGATGTATAAATAGTAGCGCTCTTCAGTACTAGTCTTCCCATATTTATGTCTACATATCTGTCCAAACAGGACACAGGTAGTCGGGGGCGGGGGAGGGGGAGGGGCTCTGCTCATTATTAAGAAAGCAACTACCCACTCTTCATGTATTTTCAGCTGGCATACGGCTTCCCACCTACAACAGATCTGGATTCATCCTTCTGTTTCAGGGCAAACAGTTTCTTTCCCTCTTATTGACATGTACAGCCATTGAAGTCACCGTGCAGCTTAAACTCAAATAGTTTTCACCATCTTTCAGACCTACAATTTTGCATGTGCCAAAAACTTAGACTAGCTTTTTGTCCTCCTTAGATTTTGTGTCTACCAGCAACTTTTGTAGCTACTGAAGCTGAAGTCAATGACAAAAAGGGACACTTTTATCATAGCCTAATTAAGATATTTTAGCTACCTTTAGTTCACAGACATTACCAGCCATATTTTAAAAATTGAAAAATTAAAATGAAAAACAAAAAGCAGAATGGGCACAGTGATGTTATGTATAGATATACTGAACTCCACAAAATTCAACTGTTATCACAGCATAAAGAAAGATATCTCAACCTCTGGATTGTCTATACTAAAACATTATCGCATTAAGATACAGTGAAAATTTAAAACACAATAGCTGTTCCAGCATGGACAAGTCCCATTATTCGCTAGGAAAGGGGAACGGGCACATTATCTACCCCAATGTTTCTTAATACACGGCAAGTCAATCAGAAGCGGGGATCCAGGGGTAGTCACGAAAATTGCACCCCAGACATTGAGAAATGAAAGAAAAATACCATATGAACAAGAAGGTCACACCAAAAAAGGAACGGAAGACATGCAACAAACTTGAACTGTTCATAATCTGCACCGCTCCTCACCCCTCCCGCAGTATCCCAAAGAACAGTTGCAAGGCATGAGGGAAGGGGAAGAAAAAATAAAATAAAATGAAAATCACCGAACACAGCAAATAAAGCCCCCTGCCTTACTCTCTGCTTTCCTATCTGTTGTCAAACACCCTTATCTTGCATATCATGCTCTTACACGGAAAGCACCTGCCATGAGCTTGCTCATACTGTCTTAAGGTTATTCTGAATACCTCACGGAGACTGGCTTTTGATCCCTACTTTTTTAAAAAGACAACTATTGACCAAGGTGATTTCTATTCAGCAAATGTAAATTAGCAAAATCAAATGAGTAGGACAAGACTAAACTGAACACAAATTGAAAAAGTTGACTAGTCAAGTATAAAATCCTGCCAGGCCATTACCTAGTACCTCACAACACAGAGGAACAGCTGGGTAAAAATGACAGTCTGTAGTTATACAGGCAACTAAGGCTACAAAGGCAGACAATGAGGAAGAGCTTCCATAAGCGGAACAGTTCCACAGGCTTGTTAGTTCGGAAAAGAGGTGGCCGAGATAGTGTATGACAGAGGCCTATAAAAACATGACAGGCAGAGAACGGTCACTCATTTTCTCTTCTACACAAAAACTGTGGAGCGTAATGTAAGAATGGGCAGCAGCTACGAACAAAAATCTTTCTTCACGCAACATGCAGTCAAGTCACGGAGTTCATTAGCAGCAACATACTGCCAGAGATAAAAAACTGAAATCGATTCAAGTAGTTAGGTCAAGCTATGGGAAGAAAATTTTCATGAGATATGAAACACATGAACCTGCATCAGAGACTCCAGCAATGAGCACCTGGGAGAGTATTCCCGGCACTACTGCTGTATGTTCACCCTGCTCTTACGTTTCTCACTAAGCCTTTGAGTTGACTCCTCTCAAAAGCAGGCTATTGGCCAAACTTTGGATCAATGACGCAGTGGAGTAGTTTTTACCTTCTCATGCATTGGGTGACATCCTTACATTGAATCTGTTTTTGAAACACAACGTAAGGCTTTGTGATTGCCTTTGTTTTGCACAGTATTGAGACAGAGCAGTCACACTTGTCTTAGTTGCAACACTAATGAAAGGATGTTTTCAATAGCTTACAAAACCACAGATGTTGCAACTAACACAGAATTTAAGTGTTAAACAGAGCAACTCCATTCCTAAGTCTGCTGACTGAATAATGAGAACTCAGGTACTGTGCTTTCTTCCCTCCCCTTTCTGAAGGATGAGGACATTAGGAGTCTCAACATCCCTCAGCTTGAATCCCAGCTTGAATACCGAAAACTTGATGCCTTAACTCCAACAGCCCATTCATTTGAAGCTCCCTGTAATTATATTCCAAACAAAATGACTGTGCACAATACTTCACTTTACCAATTCTTCTCCTCAAAGTACATTATCATTCAGAGCTATACAATACGGAATATTCACTCTCTAAAATCTCATTTCCACTGTTTTGGTGGGTTTTTTTACTCCTTCCCTTTCTCAAGCGCAGCTCGATGTGTTGTTCAGTAACCCATTCTGCTGTATTATGTCATCGCTTACTTTTTTCCTCTTTCTACTTCCCTTCCAACGTTCTGCTATCCCTTCTCCCAGGTTCTCATAAAGCTTTTTCAAATCCTTCATTACACAGGTTCTTTTCAAACCTCTTCTTGGCCTAATTCTCACGGGTAACAAAGGCACATTGCTTACTTTGCAGCAATTACTTGATGTAAAATCTTCTGGTGTAACTACAAAGAGAATATCAGCGGGTTTCTAGTGCCATCTAAAATAACATTCTAAGATCAAGCCCTCAGGAATTTTTCGTCCAACAGCCTATCTAGTTACATCTCACCTCTCATGTCCCAGCCAAAAACCTAGAGCAAATGGTCTGTGTATTATACCCCAACGCAGCTCTGAAGAGGACGGGCAAGCTCCAACTCTCCATGTTCAATTGGTGGAAAATATTCAGAAGTCTCCTGGCTGCCCATCTGCGGGCAGATAAATCAGTTCAGTAAGGTTCTAGTCATTCGTCTGGAGCAAAAGCAAAAGAATCATTTCTTTACTCTGTGTTGCAGTGGCTAGCTCACAATAACTGTGTACTTAGAAGCATAGCAGAGAGCTGTTTCTATTCGCCTACGTGTTCACAGCATCTGCCCATGCTCCAATGGGAATTTACAGAACGTTAGCTACCTCAATGTGCAAGCGACCTATTTTTCAGTTTAAGACACGGCTACTGCAAACCTTCCCGAAACTATCCTGTGGGATGGATCTGGGCTTTTTGGGTTCTCAGAAAAAAACTCTCGCAAAATATGACAGAGCTGGCAGACATTCAACACAGCCCACAAGCTGCCCTCCAGAAGCAGATGTCAGTTGTGCATGCATAAGAGCAGGTCGAGACAGCCTCTGCAGTTGGGTGAAGCGATGCTGACTGGGCCATGCGGGAGGCTCAAAGTTTTCTTAGGATTTACTCTCCAGCTTGAGAGTAGGGCACCAGACTTCAAAAGTTTCACTGGGGGAGTCCCCCAAAAATACTCTGTGTCAATATAATTTCTATCAAAATATTAGCTGAGACTCTAGTAAGATGAACTGGTAAGGGCAGTGCTGCTTTCACTCTGTTCTTGAGTCCATTTTTGGACCTAGGCAAACCCACCATGCATCAGTTCAAAGAAGTATCCATAACACTAGCTTGCTGATGCTTTCCCTGTACACGACTGCTTCTCAAGAAGCATTACTATTCCAGCTACACAAGGAAGTTCAGACCTCGTGAAAATCCAAACACGATTCTTGGGACATGGGGCTACAGTTGCAATGCATGTTTATCCAACTCCCCATAGGACTTCGACAGCACAGTATTTATTTCATACTAACAAAAACATTTTCTTTTACAAGTGCCACATCAACACTAAAGGGCTAGGGGAACGTTGCTTGCTTAGCTTTGCTGGGTATCGTCGTTTCCACCAAAACCCACTACAGACAGGCAACTTTTAAATAAGAGTTTAAAAGTCACAACTGAAAGTTTGCAAGCTTATTGGCAGGGATAAGCCTGTCCCAGCCAATTTCATTTTTAACATGTTCAGAAATATTTTTTAAGGATAAATGAAATGTAATAATAGTAAGTAAATAAGTACCAACAGCTGTATAATAGAAACTTATCGAACTAACCTCTTGACAATCTTTTATTATTACCCCATAAACACGCCCTCTAGAAAAAGCAGATTTTCAAGCCTTGAAACCCGTTTTTAGAAAACAGTTTGGTTTGTTTTAAGAAATAAACACCTAGATTCCTCACTGGAGGAGAGGCAAAGGATACAAACTCAGGTCTTGCCATACACAGATTCCATCTTGCTCATGTGCTCCGGTTACTGTTCTCAGTGCTAGAACACTGCAGAAGTGAAGAAATGAGGTGTCTCGTCATATGCCATCATTATTCATTGCTCAAGAACAGATCTGCTAACTTGAACCTGATCCTGAAAGACCTGGAGCTCCCCGAAAATTCAGTAAGGGCTAAGCATATCCATTCTTTGCAAACTCAGTTTTGAAAGAAATAACATTTGACCTTAAAATCCTTGACTTTAATATCTACTCTTATTTTTCTCAAATTGACACAACATGGAGAAAAATGAAACATGTTTTCCCTCTGCCTCCTAATTTGTATGGTCATATAAAGCTGTGAGAAGCAAATAGAAAGTATTCTCAGATCAGAACGGCCTCATTCTCTACTCACTCAAGCGCAAGACAATGGAAAATCCAGCCATGATTTCCACGGGGCTTTTTCCTGGGCAAAATCTAGCTACTTCTTAAGTACTTCCCAGAGCACTGACATTCCTGAGATATAGTCAATATTATACTGATACATGATTTATACCAATACACGATTAAGCGTCTGCTATTACTTTTTCAGAACAGCTATCCAGGAAGGCATCATATTTTGCCACTCAGGCTAGCACCAGGAACCAAACATAGTCTTTGTGCCATTCCCCATTAGCAAGATCCCAGGCAACCAGGTAGTGTCACAGCCAGAAGCAACTTGACACTTGGCCAGACTATCAACGTCAAGTGACAATTTTTGAACAAAGGGGGCATATAACCATACAAACCTGCTTAAAGCAAACTGCATCCTAAGCAGCGGTTTCAGCAATACCTTCTTCTATCAGCCCCAAGACTTCCACAAGAAGCCCAGCAATTGGACGCACAAGCTATAACTGAGCATTCCCCAGTACCACCCTGTACTGCCAAAGAACAGCAATCCACTGCCAAAGCAAATGAAACCTAATGCTCCCTCCCTTCTTTCCCCCACCAAGATACCTCTTAGCTACTCTTGTGTCACAGCAAGAAGCACTTTGAACAATACCTGGGAGAAGACAGAGGCAATGAATCAGAATGTGAAAACAGACAAAACTTTCTTTTTTGCCTTCAGGACAGTTAGAGAATCACTTTCCACTGAAAAACAACAACAACAACGTGTACATGGTACAAACCAGAACTACAGCATGTAATCTTGTGCTCTTTCCTTTATTAGCTGCTGCCAGCTGGGTAACTATGCATATAAGGCTATATCTGATCTCAGAACAATTAACTTGATTACATATATATGTGTGTGTGTATACATATATCTAATCTATATAAACGTATATACAAACATACACACACACACACACACATATTTATATATAAAAATTACTCCTCTGTGTTGGGAGCACAAGATTATCCTGCTCATAACCTGTTAAGAAAACTGCAGATAACAACAAAAGCATTTAACATGCTTTTCAAAAGAGAAGTGGCTTCCGGTAGTAAATGCCCAGCCGGCGGGTCAAATTTCCTTTCAAATAGGGAAACACATAAGAAGAAACTACAGAAATTACTGTAATATCTGCCAGCTGCAACAGCAAAGCTCTCCAATGAGCTCCTCAGGCTTATGCCAGATGCAAGAGAGCCTGATGAAATCAATTGCACACACAAGTGCCACAAGCCTCTTATTCAGGTTACCAGTAAGAATTTAATTAGCATACTGGTGGCTCATAAAAAAAACAATCATATAAAAGTCAGCATGATTTATAGTCACTTCTAAGTCAACGTTACTTACAGCTACTCATTTCCCTTTGACAGGAATATCTGAAAATACATATGTAACCCCTGAAGCTTGCAATCACGACTCAAGTACTTCAGTACTAGATGATGTGCAAACAGCTGTAGACAATCTTTGCCCAAGAGTTTTTAAATAGGCTTGCTGCGGCAGGATGGATATGACAACATACAAGAGACAAATACAAGACTAAACTGGGGAGGTAAGATGGACATACTATAAGCTGTATCAAATTTACCAAACTGTTAGGGATATCTTCTAGTGCACAACTAGATGGCTTCAACAGTTTAAGAAGAAGAAGAGTAACAATAGTAATAATAATTCTTCTGCCACAGTCAGAAGAGCATACTCATGAAAAGCAGTTTTGTGCCCAAGGGATGGAATTCATCTATTGGAAAGGTGAAACACTTCTCTGTTCAACACAACAAAAATCATAGCACCTACTTTTGGCCACTGACAGATATGAAACATCCAACTGCAAAAATAAATGCAATCCTGGCTTATTAAAGCCCACTAATTTCACTAGTATCACCAACAATATCAGCAGAGTCAGGATCTTCACCATGACCTATTTATTCATCAAAAAAAAAAAAAACCACTTGTAGAAGACTGCATGGATTCCTCAAGTCTTGTACAACAAAACTTGTGACTGCTTTATCATCCAGATTTATAAACGGAAGAAGCAGACATATGCCGTCAGTATTCTTTCCTAGAACAGTACTCACTAGAAGCATATAGTTAAAATAGTTCAGATAAAACAATTAAAACTCATGTATTTCTAAAATACATTTTCTTGTTACTTACAACCTCCCATAAACAAATATATCCTTTTATTTAGATTTGACCGTTAATAAGTATACTGTGAAGCATTCTTACCAACTTGAACTATAAGCACCACATCATGGAATCTCTATTTTAACAGAAGATAGTCTTAAGTTAGTAAGTTTAAAGCCCATCACATAACTAGTTATCATTGAATGAAATGAACTATTCAAAGGAGCTACAACATCAATAAAAGCTATAAAAAACACACTGAAGGCTCCCAGAGTTCACAGAAGTCTTTCCGCTGACTTTTATGATATCCGTATCAAACATCCAGGCTATTTTATTAAATACGTCCTGTAGTATACACATACTTATTTAACTCAATACTCAACTTACCTCTAACGTTTTAACTACAATTTTCACGTAGATATGAGAAATCCCCAGGGACACTCTAAACATCGAAGGCAACAGAACTAGCACCACAAACAGAACCAGACAGACCGACAAAATCTTGCCTTCCACAAGACCGTAACCCCCTCTATTTTTTTCCATGCTTGCTCCTTCAAAATGCCAACCTACTGCCTGACAGTATTTGCTCATCTGTAGTGGAGAATCCAGTAAACTGAAAGAGACAGAGGCAAACAGAAATTACACATTCTAAGCCCTAGAATCCCTAGGAGAGGGCTGCTCTCTTCATCCCGCCCTAACTCCACCCACTTCCTTACAATTGGTAAGCATTTACTCATCAGATATAATTCAGGGGAGAAGAAAGAAAAAACAGGTAACTAATAATATATGTCAGGTAATAAGATGCTTGGAAACTTGTCAATGTGTCAACTAGTTTTCACAAGGTATCCTACCAATAGGTTACAATACAGAGCAAAGTAGGTGTGGTTTTCAGACCTTTGAAAATGTTGTCTTTCAAAACTAATTGAATGCATGTAACACTTCCCTCACTGAAGTTTTGACCAAATTAGTAATTTATTTGGTCAGACTTTCTACTACATGGCAAAATGACAGCTCTGTTTGCATAACTGATTAAAGGAACCCAACTGAAGCTTTAGATGTGGTAAGTCAGGCTATTGTATTAATACCTGTGAGATGGAGACAGAAATTGCAACAGGTGTAAATTAACAATCCAAGGGAATAAAAACGTGCTTCCCCCATTGCTCCGCAAGAAATGAGCCAAATCGTATTACAGAGTTAGATAACGCACGGCAGTGAGGTAACAACTCGCCTATCTTTGAATCCATTCGGCTGCACAAGTTAAATATGCTAGCTAAGTAGGTTTCTCCTTTTATCGCATGAAATGCCCAAGAGTTAAATTTAGTATTCTTTGGAAAGTCCAAGTTCAGCCCCGTAGAGCCTACCCTGTCCACTTCTATGTGCCAGAGAAGAAATAAAGCTGAATAACAGTGTTCCTAGAATTTAAGAGGAGCATATCAGCTGCTCATTTATAAACTTATCACAGAATAAACTAATTTTGGTGGAACGATGACTTCCAAAGTGGTGTCATGGGAGTCCGTGAAAGGCTTTTCTTTTGAGTGTGCCTACACTAGCATTTCTGTTTGGAGCAGGGGCAGTGCTTTTGAAACAAGTTTCCCTCTTCTCCCCACGTACCGCTCTTTGGTCCGTGTTGTGGAGCAGTCCTGGCACACGCAAACTGGATTGAGGAATGAAAGGAAACACAAAAGATCGACTCTAGAGAGTGTACCTAATAGACTCCAGTCACTAATGGAGACACAAGAATCACGGAGGGCTGCACCTAAGTCCTCCAGTGTGCACCAAGCTCACGTGATACCATGACATGCTTCTTGTGCCATACGACGAGTCATACAGCTTTTGTACCTTCAGATTTGCTGTTGGATTCCAGCCCTCAGGTCTTTGCAACTCCACTGCGTCTTCCTCCTCAGTCTAACTTTTCTTCTGCCTCTTTCTCTCCTCCTTCACCTGCCCTACCTTCTTTTCCTTTGCTGACCTCTTGAGCCCTTTGTCTCATCTATGAACCCTTGCTGATTTATCTTTTAACTGGATCTGCTTTCCCACTGCTCTATCTTCCAAAGGCAGTCTCAAGCCCCCCAGAAGACTGGTGCAGCCAGGAACCCCACTGCACACTATTTCCCACCCGTCTCACTAAAAGCTGTAAGCTGTATTGGCCTTCTCTAGGAATAAAGTTTCATTATTTATAGACAGTTTTGCTTGCCCATTTCTTTTTAGTTGTCAGTCCTTATGTTCTCACTTTTGGCCTCTTCCTACAGCAACCTGCCTTCCTAACATGTGTTCCCTAGGGTGGTTTAAGTAGAGAGTTAGATGAAGGGGTGTTGACGGTCCAGCACAATGCAGCGCATCTCTGAATAGCTGCCTTCAGCACCAGCATAGGGAATTAATTGGTTGGTAAATAGTCTAGGTGCTAAAAACTTTGTGGGTGGGAGGGTGGAGGTAGTTTCTGGGACCTGATTTGAGGCAGGAAGTGTGGGCCAAATGAGGTATTGATAGTCCACCAGGAAGTAACAGGAAGGTGTGGTAACTCTCTTAAAGGGATATCTCAACAAAAAGCCTGGGCACAGGAAAGAAGGATCATTTCTTAAAAGAAGAGAGGGAAGGAGAGACTTCCTTTCCCTGCTGGGAGGGAGAGGAGGTTTCCTCTGCTGAATGAGGGAGAATTATCTTCCGTCCTGTGAGACTCCATTACCCGCAATGCTTCTCTAGCCCTTACCGAGTTATAGTCCCCAAGCCACAAAAGGAGCCCAGGCAGGTACTATAATTCTTCCCTG